CTGCCTGCCCGCCTGCTCCAGGCCTCCCCAGCCTGGGGCTTATCTGCACTCATGGCAAGTCTTCAAGTCAAGATGAAAGAACCAGCAATAGAGAATTTTTCCACACACAGGCCTCTCATCTGAAAGCCCTATCTATCTATTTATCATCTATTAATGTTTTTAAAAGAAGGTAATTGACTCTCCCAACACAGCTCAGAGGCAGGAGGAGACAGTCTTTCCTTTTTTCCTCGTGAAGAAAGAAGCCTAGAGGTGCGCGCTGGCCGGCTTTCTCCGGGGACGGGCGTTTGAACATGAGCTAGAATGCCGAACGGCAACAGCTCTGTTTTCCCTGACCCCCGCCTGTCTCCGTTTCCCTTTGTGGTTATGTCTCAGATCTGCTTAAAGACCACCTGCCAAAGGGAATCAGCATGCCACCAAGGCCTCCTCCCCGCTCAAGCATCAAGAGCAGTGACCAAGGCCAGGAGAGGATTCTAGACTCTGTCCTGGAGTCCTCTCTTGGGGGGATGATGTTCATCTCGTGGGGTTGTCATGGGATTCCAGGAGATAACTCGTAGAGAATCCCTAACCCAAGGCCCAGCACACGGATTAGAGACACTTACTGTTAGGATTTGCTGGCCTCTGACTGAAATCTGTAATTATCATGCTGCATTGATTATTGGCAGGGAGCAAACATGGTATAATTTTTAAAAATTATATAAATTATCTTCTAGACTTTTTTTTTAAACTTTCTATGACTATATCTGCCTTTGTTTCTGCTTGTATGGAAATTAAAATTTTGCCTTTTCCTGCAAAATTATCTTTTATAGCCTACTAGATTATGATAATAATACTTTGTACTTTTGTCGGGCCTTTTATCCAGGAATCTCAAAGCACTTCATAAACTTTAATTAATTCTTGCAGCAAGCCCCGTGAGGTAGGTGAGCATTATTAACCCCATTTTACAGATAAGGAGAGCGAGACATTGAGAAGTTAAGTAATTTGCCGACGGCCCCAAAGCGTTTAGTAGCTAAGTCTGAACAAGACCGCAAAACGCCCGTCTCAGGCCTTACTTGCCCGCTGGGGCTGCCCCGCTGGTCTCCCGGGGCCCCCCGGGCGTGATTGATGGGGAGGCCTCAATTGATTGCAGCGTCCATGTTAAGTACATGTTGTTGGGCTTACAGGCGTTATGGGGAATTAGTGAAGCTGACTCACGTTTCGCCCCCGGGTACTGGCCTATCTTCAGGTGAGCTGGGCAAAGCCTGCACACCCATTTCTCAGATCAGAATGTTCCTCTGCTACAAGACTGTCTCCACCAGTAGACTCCCATTTCCCTCCTATTTGGACTCAGCTAAGCATCTGCTGTGGGCCAGGCACTGGGATAGGGGCTACTTTACCTGTTCACCTCCTCTAACTTATTTTATGGCAACCCTAGGAGGGATGTTGTGACCCCTCCCATGCAGATGAGGACACCGGAGGCTCAGAAAGTGGAGTGGTATATCCAAGGCCACACAGTAGGACCAGAATGCCAACCAAGTTCTGGCTCAAGGATGGGTGATCTTGTCACCCGACCGGCTGACAACTGGCGTCCGGCTGTGTCCCAGGGAAGGCTGTGGCTTTTCCAAGGGGCAACAGAGTAAAGAGTCTCTATTGTCATTGTAAGCCAGGTCAAGCTCATAGCTTCTCTTCGTGGTTGCGTGAATTAATAGGCAACTCTCCTAGGAAGGTCTTGCTATAGGCAAGATTTCAGAAAGGGACATGGTTCCTCCAGAGACCCTTTCCAAAGGGTGCCAGCAGAAGGCTTTTATTGCCTGTCTCTACACCGCCCCATCCTTCCTTACTCAATGGCCTCTCACCACGGGCAGCAAAACTCCTTCCCTGGGGCTTGAGACACTGGGATGGCTCAGGATCCTTCACTTTCCTCCAACATTACTGTTGAAGTTGGACAAGCCTGGATTTGAATTCCAGGTCTGTACTCACTTATGGTTAATCTTGGGCAAGTCCCAACCTCTGCACAGCTCAGTCTCCTCATCAGTAGAGGGACGGATTGCCAGGATTAAATGAGTTGATGAACACAAAAGCCCACAGCACAGGGTCTGCATTCAGTAGGTGCTCATTAATGTCCCCTCTCCCCTCATCTTCTTGCCGGGTCATTGCCTGAATGGAGCTGAATGACTCACAGCAGTGCTACCCCGTTCTTTTCCTTGTCGGCTTTGCCAGCATTCTGGCTCAGACTCGAGGCCCTGGCATAGCTCACCCAGGTCGCTGCCACACCCACCAGCGGTCACAAGAGCCCTCCCCGCAGTCCCCTGTGACCACTGGCAGGGCCAGGGGATTGGCCGGGGGTCACCCAGCCCTGCCTTTCACCCACGGTGGGCGCTGCTTTTGCCTTTCAGATCCTGAGACTCAGACCCTCCTCTCTAAGGTGGAGTGTTGGACTCAAGGTGCTCAGTGAGCTTAATGGCCCAGGGTAATGAAGATGTGACCTGACAGCCGGGAATCTCTTCTGCCCCCAAGTTTGAGCCACAAGCTGAGCCTTAGGAAACTAGGAGCACCTCCTCAGAGCCCCTCGGCAAGGGGCAGGCACTGGGGTTCAGCACCACGGCCTGAACACTCAGGATTCTCTCAGGGGTGGCAAATCTGAGTAAACCTAACATAGTTTCCTATTTGGATTATCTCTTTAAAAAATAAAAATCGTCACACAACAACATTTAAGGTTGAAACAAGTTCTAAAATACCAGCCCTAACTTTCTCTCTCTTCTTTATCTGTGGGCTCCTCCGTGTTCTTTTTCGCTCAACTGTTGAATCTTAATTTATCATGAGAACCTCTCCCGCCGGCACACTCAAGGTCTTGGTCAGCTTGACACTAAAAGTTCCTCCTGGATTCGGCCCTTTCTCTGCCCCAGCCACAAGCAGGCTGGGTGGCCTGGCCGGCCCTCCACCACACGGAGCAAAGCCAACCTGCACCCAGAGCCTTCAGCAGGGTCCCCACAGAAGCTGGCAGGGGCAATGCAGTGTTGAGGCCCTAAGGTACCTTGAGGAGGTGGAGGGACCAGGTGGGTTGGGGAAGAGGGTCTGGCAGCAAGAGCAGGGAGGCCCGTGAGGAGAGGGGTGAGCACTTCCTCCTCTCCAGAGGGGGGTCCTGGGTCAGCACCCGAAGAAGACCTCCCAACATGATGCTGGAGCTCAGGCCACCAACACTGCCTTGAAACATTAGTCAGGGGCATTAGAGCCTCAGGCTGGCCGGGCCACTAGCCCTCCTAGGCTAGGTATCTTGGGCCACCACCTACAGGACAAGTCCTGCTGCCCCTTGTGTCCCCCTCACTAGACAGTGGGCACGACAAACTCAAAGCTTGGAGGGCGTGTCCTTGTGCACCCAACCTTGTTCAGGGTGGCCTATCCAGTGACAGAAGCATCCGGTCTCCACATAACCTGCCCCTCAGAGGAAAAAAGTGAATACAGTTATCATGCTCACCCGCATGTTTGCCTGTGGGTTCCCCAGGCAACTTCTGACAGAGTGATGCCCCCAGCCTAGGAGAGGTAGGGCTGGCCACTTGCCCTGCATCCAGCATACCCACAGCTGCCTCTGGTCTTCAGCTCCCCAGTGGATCTGCTGCCCCCACAACCTCCCAGTATGGGTTGACCTGAGCCAGTCCCTTAAGCCTTGACCAATGGGGAGGTTCTGAGCTGCAAAGCCAAAGACCTGGCCTTGGCCAACCCCACCCAAGTCCAGCCCTCAAGGATCCTCTCTTCCCATTCTCTGGGCCATCTGCCCACTAAGATGGCCTTTCTTATTTAAATAGTAGCAGAATTAAATAAATGTTTGCTAAGCCCTTGAGCCTAAGACAACCTCATGAACTCCCACACTGATATCATGTAATCAGTCCTTCCACTCAAGGGAATCAGACTTCTTTACAGCAGTGTGTCTTTCTAGAAGTTTCTGGACTATCACAAAGGGTGCAACTGTAAAAGAACGAGGATGGTGCTCACATGTTCGTGTGTGGGTGTGTACATACACGCCTGTGTGTGGCCCCTGGGATCCCACGTGAAGTATCTAGTATAAGCCAGATTACAAATATGACCCTGAACCACAAAAGCCCAGCCCAGGGGCCAGGCCTCTCCTCTCAGATGAAGGGAGTGAGAAGAGAGATGGGCTCATCCTTGGTCTGGCTTAGAAGTGCTCAGCCCCAAAAGCAACACTGTCTCCTCTCATCTTTAAAAATCCACCCCTGGATGGTTCAGTGTTAAAGTATATGACTCTTGATCTCGAGATCATGAGTCTGAGCCCCATGTTGGATGGGAAGATTACTTTTTAAAAAACTCACTTTTAGTACTTATGATCGTAAAAGTTAAAACTTGATTGTTACAGAAATTTTGGAAAATACAGAGAAATATGAAGAGAAAATAGCAATGACTGTAACTTTTACTGAGCCCTCCGGGCTTGGTGGGTGCACATTCCTGTGAGTGGGGGTGGGGGGGTGGGAGGGGGTTAGGTGGTAGGCTTCAGGCAGGCAGGCAGGCCCGGAGCCCCCTCCAAAACAGTTCACATTCTATGCTTTTCCTTCCAATGTCATCTTCTCCCTCACCCCCACCTTTTCAACAAAATTGGGCCCAAATGGCATTCATTTGCATTCTTCTTTCTGTGTTAAACCCTGTATTGGAAACATTTTCCCTGGTCACAGAGCATTCTTTGAAGACATCATTTCAGTTACTGTGTAGGATTCCTGCCTATGAAAACCTCTCCCATCATGTATTTAACCATCCTGCCTGGTGGACTTTGGGGGCAGGCCACGGAAATATGGTGGGCTCTGCCCCTCACGAGAAAGTCCTTCCTGGGGCCTGAGCCAGTTTGCATCCACTGGCCGGTGAGCCAGAGCCGTGGCCGGGGTTGGGGCTCCCGGGACGCCCCCAACTCTCGTCGTCAAAGATAATTCTCCCCGTTAAAACTGCCAGGCTGCCTAGTGGTTGTGAGGTTTCCTTTTGGGGAGATGAGAAAATTCTGGAAGGAGAACAGTGGTGCTGGGAGCAAAACACGGCAAGCAAATGTCCTGAATGCTGCTGAATTGTAAATTTTTTTTTTTTAAAGATTTTATTTATTTATTTGAGAGAGAAAGAATGAGAGACAGAGAGCACGAGAGGGAGGAGGGTCAGAGGGAGAAGCAGACTCCCCGCCGAGCAGGGAGCCCGATGTGGGACTCGATCCCGGGACTCCAGGATCATGACCTGAGCCGAAGGCAGTCGCTTAACCGACTGAGCCACCCAGGCGCCCTGCTGAATTGTAACTTTAAGACAGTAAATGTTATGCGTATTTTACCAATTCTTTTTCGTAAACTGTCGAACTGGAACGGTCACCGCGGCCCCAGGTTTCCTCCTGGCTCATGCACACACCCACTGCGATGGTGCAGGTGGCCTCACTCTCATGGGTGGCAGAATGGAAGGAAGGCTTAGAGCATCACAGAGAGGTCTCAAATACTGTCTTTCGGGTCAAGGATCAGCTCATTCAAAGCCCTGCCTCCCTGCGATGGCTGTGTCCCCTCGGCAGAAAGCCTGGCGCTGGGGCTCTGCCTGCCTGACGTCCCCCCGCCACTGGGCATTGCCCCAGCTGGCAGCCAGGGTTTTCTGCAGCCGCTGGCTCTGTGGCCAGGTCAGCGGGGATGTCCTGGCACCTGATGAGGTGTGATATTTATTGCTGTTGCCGTGGAGGGACTCTTGTGCACATCCCGGCCCAGGTGCCCCTCTTCATAAAGCCTTTCTCCATGCTTGCTGCTGGAGCCAAAGCCCTCTGTCCTTGCACCTCTGTCCTTGTCCCCTTCTGCCCTTGGTTGCAGTGATCTCTGTGCTTATGTCCCCTGCTAGATGGCAGCACTTCTAGAACAGAAGCATTGCATCATTCACGAGCCACCCCCAGCCCCCACAGCCACTCAGGACTCGTTTCTTCAGCATACGGTGAGGGGATACTTAGCAAGGTGCTGAGGGCACGACGGTGGACCTTGTCCTCCCCACAAAGAGGCTTCCTTCCAGTTAGACGTGCAGAGGACTTCAGTGCAAGAGTGTTAGTCCGCGGACAGGAGTGGCCAAGCTATCGCTGCTAAGGAGATGTGTCCTTCACATAGGTTGGGTGGAAATGGGGTCCATGTCACTGTTTTCAGAGGACAGATGGTATTCTTTGCAGCACGTGCAGCCCTTCTGCTGCGTTTCCCTCCTTTGCAGCAACCCCCTTCCGGAACTTAGAAGCAGGGGCTGTGTTCTAAGATTTCATGTGGAAGTTAGTTATTTGGAATATAAGGTGTATGTTACTGGAAACACTCCTATGAAAGGTAACCAGTTGTCCAAAATCACTCACAAAATCAAGTCAGCTCATATGTTTGAAATGCTACACACTAGTCAGTAAAAAATATTAGAATCTAATGGCCCTAGAACCCTGAGGGGATGCTGGTTGTCCTAACCTCACGTACAGGCAGATCCAGACTAAGTGCCTCCAAGACCTCAGTAGCCCTTACCCCACCTGCTCACATAGGCCCAGCCCCCTAAGAGCAATCCCTTGTCCTGTGTCTCTCTCTGGCAGACCCTTGTTGTGGGTGCTTACACACAAGACGGCTGAGGGGGCTGAGCAGGCTGAGCAGGCTGAGCCACAAGCACATGGCCTGGTGGAGCCCTTGAGCAGCCTTGCCTTAGCACCACCATCTTGAACTTTGTGGGCCCTTAGCCCCCTGGGCCCGCTCTCACCTGTGGCCTTTAGGGGAGCTGGGGGAAGCAGGCAGCGCAGGGGAGCCCCTTTACAGCTCACCTCAGCAGACTCCCGGCAGATCTGAGAGTTGGCCCACACTCATTGACGGGGGTGGACAAAGCTGGGTGTCACGGGGGCAGATGGTGTCTTGGTGCCCGGTCATTTCTGCTGAGGCCATCACCAGAACTCTGCAGAACTCAGGGTTGGGGAACCAGAGAGCAACTTTCCCTACTCTTAGTTTGTTCGTTCAACCTGTAGATCTTTACTGGGCATCAGCTGCGTGCTTACTCTTCGGCTGTAGACCTAAAGAAGCATATTTGTTGGCAGTTGTCTCAGAACAGAAAATCTGGATTCGCACCTGCTATTAGACTAGAAGCATCGGATTTCCCTGAGCTTTAGTTTCCTTATCTTCGACAGGGTTGTTGCCTTGCTGGGCTGTGGCAAGAGTTAAAGACGACCAAGCTCGTGGAAATATTTTGTGAACTGGAAGCACGGGGTAAATGCCGAGTAACTAAGTAAATGGGGAGAGGGTGGCCAGGTGGCTTTGGAGTGTGAGTTCTTCCGGGGTCTCGTTGTTTTCTTGATAACAAAAGGTAACAATCATACAAATGCTTAGATCTGCTGCCACCTCCAAATGGTGCCTCTCCCCATCTAAACGAGGTGAACTCAAAAAGAAGGACCTAAATCAATCAATCAATTAATCAACGTAAGACAAGCTTCTCATCATTTTTTAAAATTCAGAAACATAAAAAGTAAAAAGAAAATCCCCCCTCCTTCTGCACAGGTGCATCTGTAGCAGTATACAGAGACGATAGCACAGCAGAGGTCGTTTCTTCCCTGTAGACCCCAGACATTCTTAAACGTTTCAGTATGCGGACCTAGAGCGGACGCCCATTACCCGTCCTTTGGGTGGGTTCCCAGGGGGTGGGAAGGTCCTGAATTGTGGAAGGGCGCACGTGACCTCACATATCATATTCACACAGGAGCCTGCTCTAGAGCTTTGATTCTCCAACATCTGTGTGCTCACAGCTCACCTGGGTCTTGTTAAAACACAGGTTCTGGGTCACTAGGTCTGGGGAGGGGCCTGAGAGTCTGGATTTCTAGCAAGCCCCCATGCGACCGTGGGACCACAGGCCTCCATCTGAAGGGCAGGGCTGGGGAGCCGTGGTCCTTGTCCCTGGCAGCACGTTAGGATCACCTCAGGGCTCTATGGGTCATGCTTGGACACCACTCCCCTCAAAGTTCTCTGCTTTAATTGTCGAGGTTGGGGTCAGGGCATTGGCATATTTTGAAAACGCCCCAGATGATCCTAATGTTCAACTAAAGACATTTCATTTTAGGCCGGCAGACTTATCAAGCAAACACAATTTGTATAGTCTCTCTTTGATTAAAATAAAACACGTGTTGTTAACAATAATGTATTGGTATTTCAATATTGATTCATCAGTTGTAACAAACATACCACATTAATGCAAGATGTTAATAATAGGGAGAATGTGGGTGGGCAGAGGGGCAGGTATATGAGAACTCTATTTTGTGCTTGATTTTTCTGTAAACCTAAAACTGTTCTGAAAAATAAAGCCTATTAATTTTTTTTAAAAATTAACAACTGGCATTACGCAGACACTGACCAATCAGATGGAAGCAGAGTCCCTAGGGGACGGGCCGCAGGGACTTTGCTGAAGTCATGGAGGGGGGGTGGGGGAAGGGGGGTCCCAAGGGAGGGGCTGAGCGGTCAGAAGGCTCAGGACTGCAAAATTACTTCAATATGTGAGCAACTATCATGGTCTCAGCACCCAAATATCAACTCTGACTAATGCTACTATTATCAGTTGTTGTATATGAATTAAAGGCAGAAATGAAGGATGCCAAGAAATGACAACTTGTGCAGTAGATATTGTTATCCTCATTTTATACACGAGGAAGCAGAGGCACACAGAATTCGTGACTCGCCCAAGGTCACGTGACTCTTCAATGGCAAGCCTGAGAGCCGAACCCAAGCTTGTTGGCCTCAAAACCTAAGTTCTTCTCCGGCTCAGGTTGCTGGTGTTTAGTGAGCCTAATCTAGGCTTACGGGTTTACTTCTCTGTGCAGGTGGGTCATGAAGCTGGCATTTGCAAAGTGCCAAAAAAGTACACCTCCATTTGTGCACGGGAGGCTAGAGTTCCTGCCCAGTTCGGCCACTCACTTCACCAGGCGGATCTTTCCCTCCTTCTGCTTCACTGTAGACCTGGGGGAAGTCAGCACAGCAAAGACCTTCGGGATCCTTGGTCAGTGGTTCCTCCTTCCCATTTTGTAGACTGGAAAAGTGAGGCTCGGAACAGGGAGGCAACCTGGCTAAGCTCTTGGCAGGGTGCAGGTCAGAGCACTGTAATGCTCCCAGGTGCACAGGTGCAATTAAGCCAAAAGGAGCCATCTCCCCCTGCAGTCAGTGGGCCACAAGGCCGCTCTGTGAGCTGAATGCAGTGACGTAAGTGGGAGTTGTCCATGTAGGACTTCACAAACGTGTGACGAGGATGCCTACACTTGAAGCCCTGTGCCTCAGATCTGCAACTCAGTATCCTTCCGGATCCTTCATCTGGCCAGCGTGCGCTTCGCGAAAGTAATGGTTAGAGGAGAGTCCATTTAGTGTAATGAGGGGTTTGGTTTTATAAGCAGGAAGAATTGCCTTTGTCCAGCAGCATGAAAAAGTGATTTTAAAAGTTAAAATTATGTCATGGGGTGGCTCTCAGACTCCGGCAATGTATCACACCTCAGCAGAGAGTTACAGGGGCGCTTTCTTCCGAAGGGAGGTCACAGCTGAGGATGCCCAGCCTGTGGCTCAGGGAGCCGTTCCCACTTGCTTCTAAAGCGCTGAGTCAACAGACTTTCCAAGGAATATCCTGTCCTTGGCCGGAATCCTGTCCTGCAAACACGGTTCCTGGAGGGCCAGGTTGAAAGGGGATCACGGGCTCAGTAGGTTCAGATGGTCTTCAAAATGCAAATGCCGTTGGGTATGTTGCTATTTGTATGTCTGAAATCAACATTTATAGCTTTCACCTAGAGCTTCAGGGTCTGACATGGTAACGACCAGCCGGGCATGGCTATTTAAAAGCTTAAACTAATCAAAATGAAATACAGTTATAAATTTGATTTCTCAGTCACTCCAGCCTCATTTCAAGAGCCACATGGGCCTCGCGGCTGCCATATTGGACAGCAGAAATACCCAACACTTCCATCATTGGACAATGGATTGGTGCAGGCGTAGAAAGTGAGCACCATTGGCAGGAGGGGGTGCAAAGAGCATATCATATAGACCCGGGGAACCAATCAGAAAGGCCCAAACCACATGAGCAGGTGAGAGAGTCTGTAAGTCTAGATGTGGTCAGAAAATCTAGACCTGGGGATGGTGACACCACCCTACAAGGAGAAATTCTCCAGCTACATCAAGGTGCCAGATTGGTTCTGTCCAGAACACAGTTCTATAGATCTGTTCTCACTTTATCACATAGCACGTTTCTCCAAATCATTATAAAACATTCATAAACACACTTGTAAAGTCTGAGTACTGTTTTATCCTACAGCTATAGCATAATTTTATCATCCTTCTACTCATGTTGGATATTTGAAGTGTTTCCAATTTTTGTTATTATAAATGACATTTTCATGAATGCCTTTGTGACTAAAATGTCATCTGCTTTTCAGAGTCTATCTGTGGATAGTTAGAGCCCTACAAGTGGGTTTGCTAGTTTAAAGGGTACAACATGTTTGAGGCTTCTCATACTTACTGCGAAATTGTGTTCAGTAAGTGTGGTACCGATTTATATTTGTCCTTGCTGTACAAGAGAGCAGACTGTCACACCTGCAGCCCAAACAGTTCATTTGTGAAGGTCCCAGGCAGCCCATGGCTCCTCCCCTCCTCCTGCTTGAGTCTTGCTTTCACCCTCCACATGCTGCTGTTGGTTGAAAGCCCAGTCACGGTGCTCAGGCCACTGGCTCAGACTCATCTGAAAGGTCATGGGCAACGGGCCTCCCAGAATCCCCTAGATGGGTGTATGGCCCGGGCCCGAGGTTCAGACAGGTACGTTCTGGAGAGAGTGAAAGAGGAGGTGAGTGCCCATGAAGCCGTGAGAAGATCTGGGAGATGAGGCAAGGGTCATCTAGAGGGAAGGGACAGTAAGACTTCTCAGCCAAACCAGGACTCGTTGAGAGTGAAGGGAAAGTGACCACTCATTACGTGGGAACAACAGCATAACCCAGGGCTGACTGTCCCAGGCAAACCGGGATTTACACTCACCTTACAACATCATCTGGGACCATATGTCTACCCTAAAGTCAGCACCAAGAGTCTGTAAGGAAGGGGACCCTCAACATCAGAAATGAGGACCTAATTAGGGACTATGGCTGTTTGGTTTCTAAATGGATGCAGCGAAGGGAAAACATGGGCTCATCGTCCACGGAACATGCAATTTCGTGGGGTAACAGGACAGCACGTGCACCTCAATGCTAATACCCCACCTTGTCAAAGAAGCAGAGACCAGACAAGACCAGATACGGCCCAGAGACCCAGGAGAGGGCAGATGTAAACAGATCTGTAGGAATGTAATTACCGGGATTTCACTGATTTGAGATGAGGCAAATTTTAATCAGCAAAGATCTAACGGGAAGGCATTCCAGGAGAGGGAACTGGCTGGGGTAGATACGGAAGCAGATATGAGAGTTCTCAACTGTTTGTTGTTGAGCCTTTCCCAAATGTCAAGGCCGGCTCCAGGCACCTTATAATCTATGGAATAATCCAGTAACCAACAGCCATGCAAATTCCTACGTCCAGCAGCTCTACAAAATAACAGTTAGACGCCCCCACTCACAGAGATGGGGAAGACTTTCCCCCCAAGAGCCCAGGACCAGCTGTACTGAGAGCTAATGTCTCTGCTCACCAGGAGCTGTGGTTTTAGACCGGCGGGACAGCCGAGCGTCTGCCCCCCCGACAGGCAGTCGGGACCTGCAATGTCTGTAGGTAATTTGAAAACGATAACAAAGCTGACCGGAAGCTGCCTTGCTTGTCATTGTCCCCTGGCCCATCAATTCTCTCCAGTGGCACAGATGAAATACTCCTCCTTGAAGAAGTTCCTTTGTTCTAAACAATCGCTGTGGTTATAATTGCGTTTTAATGATACGTCTGCGAAACGTCACGTTTTCATTGCTCGCCTGGTTCATAAATTGTCCTTTGCTGCACCTCGGTTAATTCAGAAAACTCTCAGTTCTGTAGTTGGCCCCTGATTCACACAGACTTGGCTACATGTGTTTGTTCTGTTTCTCGTGGTTTGCAATCCTTCGGGAGGCTAACCAGCTGGTCCTTGCCAATCGCCCAGGACGTTTCTGCTCTTGATCCCTGCCTTTGAGCTCAGCCCGGGAACAATTCATGTCTCCAGCTCCCATGACAGATATGAAATAAACAACAATGTCACAAGGTTGGGAATGCAAAGGAACAGAGCTTAAATTCAACCTGTCCTTCCATATGTAGTTTCGATACAGAAAGTGTAAGCAGTGGGGATGCTAACTGTAAGATGTGATATTTGTATTTGGTGGATATGGATTTTTGTTCATACACGAAACATTTAATTTAATTTGAATAATATCTGTAGAATTGAAGTTTCTTCTTTTAAAACAATTTTTTGCTTGTTTTAAACCTAAAGAACAAATCAAGAAAGTGATCGTTGCTGCTGGTTTTTACAGAAGTTACTAACAGAAAACAGTTTTGTTGTATCGAGGCAGAGGACGTTAAAAAGGTTTCCATTGCAGCTGTCAATTTCAGTAGATTGTAAATTATCTCATTTAATCTCCAGGGCAACCCCAAGAGGTGGTTTCTATTATTTCCCCCATTTAGAGATGAGAAGACTGAGATTCAGGGAAAGGAGCTGACTTGCCGGGGAGGTCTGGGACTCAGATCCAAGCACTCTGTCCCCAGAGCTCACTCTCTCACTCCTGTGCTAGGAAATACTTAACCCCAAAGCTGGGCTCTTCCAGAGACAGCTGCTCACAGGGGTATGCAGGCCCAGCTCAGAATTTTTTTTTTAAGATTTATTTATTTTAGGGAGGGAGAGAAAGGGAGAGAGAGCATGCACGTCAATGGGGGGAAGGGCAGAGGGAGAGGGAAAGAGAATCTTCAAGCAGACTCCCTGCTGGGCCCAGGGCCTGACACTGGGCTCAATCTCGAGACCCTGAGATCATGACCTGAGCCGAAACCAAGAATCAGACACTTAACCACCCAGGCACCCCGCTCAGAATTTTTGGTAAGAATATTATAGCTACTTCTTTCAGTTTTATATGGCTATGTAACAAATTAGCCCAAACTTTAGTGGGGTAAAACAACCATCTATTACACATGAAGATTTGGTGGGTCATGGACAGTGGGGCCAGGTTTGTCTCTGCTCCATGACGTCTGGGTCCTCAGTGGAGAAGATTTGGTGGCTGAGTGACTTCCCAGCTTGAGCTGGATTGTATGTGTTGGTGCTGGCCCTGGATCCCTGAACGGGGCTCTTCACCTGGCTTGGGGTTCCCCCAGCATGGTGGCCTAAGGGCAGCCTCCCATCTTACAAGGTGACCCGGGGCTCCAAAGGCCAGCGTCCCAGCTCACAACGTGGAAGCTGCCTTGTCTTTACCATATTCTGTTGGTTTAAACAAGCCACAAGGCAGCCCAGATTCCACTTAATGTCTTGGCGGGGTGGGGCTGACATATTGGAGCAGCTGCCTTTGTAAAATCCAATCTGTGTCGCTTCTCTTTTTTCTCGTCCAGCTGGTTCTGACTCTTCCAGGCTGCTCAGCTCCCAGCTGGGCTCTTCCTGGGACTTCTGGCCTCTTCCAGACCCAGGTCCTTCAGGTGGCCCCAACCCAAACGGCATTTTCAGGTGCACCCTGGGGGAGGCAGCAGATAAGAGAAGCATTTCTAGTGCTAGTGGGTGAATAGAAATCAGTTTAAGTCAACCAGGGAGGTCCCACCCTCCTTCCTAGAGATTGAGAAGGCCAGGCCCCCTCTAGCTGCCAAGGAGGAGATGGGCCAGGGAGGTCCAATTGGATGTGATCCATTCCACTTAATAGGACAGGAAGGGAAGTATGCTGGGGAGAGTTAGTTCTTGTGTAAAGAGAGATAGAGGAAGAGATGCTCTCTACTTCTTTCCACGAGCCTTTGCTTTATAAACTGTGTCTGATGCTGACAACCAGGCCAGCCATCTGCAACCATGAAGGGAGCTCCCTCCACCCTGGGCATGGAAGTAAGAAAGATGAACAGGACCTGGGTCTTTAGTGTTGTTTGTGAGTTTCTAAATGAATGAAACTGGAGCCTCCCTTCCTTGACATTTCTTGGTATATGAGATGATTAGTTTTCCCTGTTGCTCAAGCCAATAGGAAACATAATACTGTGCTTACTGGAACTCTTCTTGGGAAGTGTCCTCCAAGTTAGCAGGAAGAAGATTTTGACAAGCCTTTGGAAAGGGAGCTGTGCCTGTCATTAGCCTGCTTGATCTCATGCCTATCCCCCCACCCACCAGGGCTGGGCTATTTTTCGGGTGGACGGAGATGGGGGCTGAGTCCTGAAAATCACTTGCCAGCTCTCTTGCCAACAGGGTCCAACTGGGGGGGCCTAGTAAGAGAGTGGAGGATGGAGAAGCTGGGTCCTTCTCCTCCTGTCTCTGCTTGGAGCAATATCCCTGGTATTGGCTGCTCCCTTTGGTGGTTCCAGCGCCCTCTGGTCGGTGCCTCTCTGTGGTTCTAGTTCCCACTGGGCACCCCCCAGGTGGCCACAGCTCTGCTGGGGGCCCTTCCTCCCTTTTATGCCCAGCCTATGGGTGGTAGCAGCTTTCTGCAGCAGTTAGATATTCTGTTATCTCTGTAACTAGTTCCCATGTTAAATTCACCCCACTGAACTGCGGGCTGGAGCCCAGACTGATATAGGGCATGGCATGCCGAAGGGGAATGTTTAATAACTGCATAGGGCAGCTAACCCCTCCTCCCACCCTTTGAGATGACTGGGTCCTGTTGTCAGAAAGGATTTGGTTGGGCTGATGGGAAATGTAGATTGAGATCTGTCTGCACAATCACAGTGGCCCCTGAGGGTCAGAGGCTGTCCCCAGAGTGAGTCCTGTCATATAGCCTTTAGTTCTTTTCCCAAGTGAAGCTAGGTACATGATGGTTACCTCTCTCCACGCCCTTAACTTGAGTGCCCTTGGCCCCTCCCCAGCTCAGACCAGCCAGAGGAGATTTTCTCTCTGTTTCTAATACCCAGAGCCAGCTCATGCCTTTGTCCTTGGGCCCCCATGCTGGGCTGAGCACCTGTCCTGGTGACCAGACATACACAGCACATGCCTGGGAGCTGGCCTCCCCTCTGACTGTGCGCTCCTTGAGGACAGGGACCTCCCTGGCCCATCTCCTCCTTGGCAGCTAGAGGGGGCCTGGCCTAGAATAAGGGCTCACAGGTTGAAGGGGGAAAACATGCATCCCCCTGAGATGCTCCTACAGGCTCTCCTGATGAGCCCAGACACACATTGCCTTATGCCCAGGGCGCCCGAGGCTCAGCCCGGCACGATACTGTTAGCCCTTCAGACTTGGGTCTGACTTGGCAGGAATGTGGAGCTCACACCAACCCTAGGCAGAGCGCCCCTTTCCAGAAGGCCTACGTTGTGCCAGGCCCTCCACATGCTGATCCCTGCCATGCAAGGAAGAACTCTTGCAGGCTCTGGGGTTTCCCAGAGGTGGGGACCCCACCAGGGTGGGGCTCCAGCAAGAAGTGGGGCAGTGGCAAAACCCAGCACAGGTGTTGCCACAGGTGGGGTCAGAGGCAGTCACCAGGAGCCTAGGAGAAAATCGAACAAAAGAGGCAGTGGGTCAGAAGGTCGGGCCCTTGGCAGGTAGCACCCAGCACAGAGTGGCAGCCCCAGGATCCTCCGTTGCCCAGCACACCAACTGCATGTAGGAGACGCTCAAGATAAACACGGACTGAATGAATGAATGACCGAAGGGAGAATATTCAGCATCTTTTCTCCCTCTGATTTTAGACGGCACATAGGGAGAAATTCCCATGAGCTATCAGCCGCGTAACCACAAGTCACAGATTTCTCAGGGCAGCCCTCGCTCCAACCTAACAATGTTGAGTGACTTTCGTGTGCCAGGTACTGGGCTAGCAGCTGGACGTGTGAAGGTAAGTAAATTGTGGTCCTTACTTCAAAGGGAGTAGGAAGAGATAGAGGCCAAGACCCAAGGCACCCATCCTGTCTGAGGCGCGCTGGGATGACAGGTGGGCAGGCTCTGCGGAACGAAGGGGTTTAGGAGGGCTGGTGCACAGCCCAGCGCAGGAGAAGAGACTGGGAAAAGGAGTGGGACAGATCTCAGAGGGTCCTGGGTGCTGGGCTAGGTGTCCAGACTTCACCCTCTGGGCCCCAGGCCACCAGTGAAGAGTTGTAGCTAAGTAAAGCGGTCAGATCAAGCGGTCAGATCTGAAAACCTTTGTCCTGCTGTCGGACCCCGTGAGGAAGGTGGCATGTCTGAATGCCGGCTCAGCACACACATCCTGGGGCTCTGTCTTCAGGCTGCTCAGAAGGCAGGCTGTGGGAAGCAAAGCATTGCTAAAACCAATTTGCCAGTCAAATGAACTCCGGCTCTTCACGTCTGGACAGAAGCCACCTTTTCTCCGCAACGTACCGCGTGCCCAGCGACCTGCCACAGGGTGCTGCTGGGCTCCAGGAGGCCCTGGCTCCCTTCCTGCCGGAAGGCCTCTGTGCCAGCAACTTGCCAGGGAGCCCTACCAGGGCGGGGGCGAGGTGGGGCAGTGAGACAACACTTTGTAAAACAGACGTCCTGGCACTTCCACTTACACATGGGTGTCTTTGGCTTCCCACAGACACCTGTGGGGGTGCCCCCCTTCTGTGATGACACCTGTGTTGCTCAGAGCAAGGAGGGCCTCCCGGAATCTCGCTGTGCCCGGGGCACGTCATTTGGACATGGGTGAAGATAGCACACTTTCCACCTTGGAGGGTGGATTGGATTTTTGGAAACACGTCAGGCGATTCCAGGGCAAGGCTAGTGAGTGATGAGCGACTGAGCTTCAGAACGCATGGTCAAACATCCACAGGTGACTAGAGTGTCCCATGACTGCTTCCCAGGTGTCCTGAATCAGGGCACCCTTGTGGGACGGGCCCTAAACTCTCCCAGGTCCTCATGTAACTGGATGTCACGAGAGCCTCACTCCCGAGTTGACTCTTGTGCCTCTGGGAAGATATCTGGTGCTGCAGCAGATGACCTTTGACATGTGGACAGAACACAAGCCCATTTTCCAGGAGGTTCTCAATGTCTAATATTCCAATATCGACTGCATGGATACATAAATGTTCGCCAACTGTTGTCTTTTACGTTCTTTAATTATTTCCAGTAAAGGGGACTCCTTAAATTTGTATTCGCTATATATACCTTTATAAGCCCTTCCGTGTTAGTAAGTAAATGAAGAGAAAACACCCCCTTCTTCAGACATGTCCTCATTTTTTGGTTCAAAAACCGTATACAGCAGATTTATACATGAGCCTCGTTGTAAAAGAAGTTAGAGATTCAAACATCGGAGTGCAAGAGCTTTGCATGTTTACGTACGCCGATCCAGCTAGAGAGCATTTTACACGAGGAGCCGGAGACCCAGTGAGGGGAAGGGTTCCAGAATGAGCTCGGTGGTGAGGGCAGCTAAACAAATGGGAGTTGGTCCTGGAGCTTAGGTGGGATAACTAAGGATGCACATCCAACATGGTTTTTGGTGTATTTCTTTGCTGCCATTACGGCTTCAGCTCCAAACACAAAAAACCTCACCTTCACATTAGTGTAACTTTTAGGCGTTGGCCACCACGTAGTTGACAAGGATCTGTTGCTTTTCTCCAAGGAAAGAAAGAGTCTGGGAGACGATGGAGTCTACTGAAAATATGCAGAAAGACATTAATGCCACACGTATGAATAAGGCCTGGTTTAGTCATCACCGATTTATCTTCTCAAACCCAGGTTAGTAGCTGGGTTTAATGACTCAGGCCCTGCTAACTCCCAGACCAAGGCCAAGGGCCTCTCCAAGAGTTTGCCCGCAGCCAGCTGGGCCAGCGCTCAAGGAAGCAGCTCCGCCTCCTTGCCTTGCTTCTGTTTCCCTATCTGGGTCAGATGGATCATCTGGGCAAGATGTGGCCTCCCCAAAGCAAAGTACGGCATGTGTGCAGGAGTTTGCTGTTCGGCGTGGGCTAGCAGGAGCGGCAGCGTATACGGGCGACCCGGGTGTGAGTGGCAAAAATGTACAGCACAGGGACCCACCAGCCGGCTTCCTCAGTCAAGAACTTGCCTTTTATTTCAATTAATACCTCTAAATCTAAAATATAATCACACAGCTGAGCTGGAACAGGACCCTGGATCTGGCCCAAAACGTTCCCTTAATGGCTGGAGACACAGAGGCTCAGAGAGTCGGGGAGGCGGCCAGGTCACACTCCCACGGCGGCAAGCTGCAGGCAAGACAGGGCTGACTGTCCTCCCTCCAGGCCGGGCCACTAGCAGGACCCCATGTGCGGAGACATCCGGTCCCCGCTGCCTGTAGGAGGCTGCAGGGCGGGGACAATGTTCGCCTGCCAATGACTGGCTGATTGACATGCCAAGGAGAGCTGGGGGTGTGGACACTCTTCCCCACTTGGCCGTGGCACTGGACACGGGAGACGTCTGGAATGTGAGGAAAAGTCTGTAATTGGGACAAAATGTTTCTTCACAGAGGGGGGACAAATACCAGGGTGCTTACCATGATCCTAAAGCTGTCTCATTTAGTGTCTGGGCTGTCATGTTCCCTGATGGGTTGTTAATCTCATCCTTCGGTAGGAATTAAGCTTGTTAGGGTGGAGATAACTTCCCTACTCCCTTCCCTAGTCCAGCGATGTCTGGCACCCACCCAGCGGCTGCTCAAGGACTATGTAAAAATAAAGTTGAGCAAGATGTGCCCCAGGCCTAGGGGACAGTACAACGGGAGTTTCTCAAAACCTCACAGGGTTTTGCAGCTGTAAAGATCCTTATGTCATCTAGTCAAAACTCCTCCAAGGCCAGAGAAGGGAGGTAATTCACCCAAGATCACACAGCAAGTCCCCGCCAGGGACCCCGGTAGAGCACGGGGTCCCTCTGCACCAACCACGACTTACCTGGGCTAGCTTTACGCGTTCTTTAAATCCTCACCAGGGACCCTCAGGTGGGCCACACCCCACACTCTAGGGTGGGATGTGATTGTTGCATTTTGTCTTCAAGGGAAAGAATGGTAAAATGAAAGAAAAAAGACGTGCCCCGCCTTCCTTCTCCCCTCCCTGGGGTCAGCGGTGGGGGGCAGCCCACACCCCAGAGGCACAGTCCTCCACCAGAGGCTGCACGCTCTTAGGGATAACAGATTTCCCAAGGCTTTTGCCTTTATGGATTCATTGTGCAGACTCAGTTGCTGTGCTGGGACTTACAGGGCTCTCTCAAAGCGAGGCAATCGCATCCGCCCTTAGAGATGTCTAGTCACTTACGAGTCCCGTGTACTATGGTAAAGGGCAGTGGAGGGGCTCGGTGGCCCGTGGCCCCTCTACCGCCTTCCCCTAAGGCCCTTAGACAAGCCTCTGGCTTAATACTGCACGTGTGTCTTCGCGTGGCCGTCGCTGCCAGCCATCTAGAAGGAACACACCTGGATACGTTTGTTGGCGCAGTGGCTCAGGAGCGGCCGGAAGCGGTGCCACCAACTTGCCAGGTGACCCTGAGCACGCACTTTGCCCCTGTCTACTTCTGCGCCCCGTTCTTGAGGTGAAGCCAGAATCGTTCCAGGTCCCTTCCTCGGCGCTGGAGGCGCCTGGCAGGAGGGGCCAGAGTGCACCCGGGGAGGAGGGGGTCCACGTGGCCCGCTTGTGCCCGCGATCTCCTTTCTCTGCCCTAGGACACGAGGCATTTAAAGCCAAGCAGAAGAACAGTTAATGCCCAGCGCGGATGCTGAAATTCGGCTTCTGCGGCGCCCGCTCCTGCACCAACGTTGATGTCCCGGAGAGCGGGGGGCCCGGGAGGGCCCGGGACCCGAGGCGTCGTGCGCGTGCGCGGGCCCGCCGCAGGGCCGGAAAGGGCGCCAGGCCGCCAGGCCGCCGGGGGTGCCCTGCGGCGTCGTGCGCGTGCGCGTGCGCGTGCCTGCCGCAGGGCCGGGAGGGGTGCGAGGCCGCTGGAGGCGTCCTGCGGCGTGGTGCGCGTGCGCGTGTCTGCCGCAGGGCCGGGAGGGGCGCGAGGCCGGGGGCGGGCCGGGTGGCGCTCGGAGCCGCTGACGTTGAAGGGCTCGGCGCCCCCCAGCCTCCGTCCGGCCGCGGGTTGGCCGCCGCCGCCGCGCTCCGCCCCCTTCCTCGGAGGACGCCCGGACGGAACCGATCGCGGCTGGTTTGAGCTGGTGCGTCTCCATGACGACACGCGCGGCGCTATAAGTAGCGGAGCGGCGGCCCGTCGGCTTTGTCAGTCCCCTCAGCCTCCGCCGCCGCCGCCCCTCTGCCAGAGCTCCGGCGCCACCTCGGGCCGGCGGTCCTCCGCGGGAGGGAGCGAGGCGGCGGGCGGCCGGCTGACGGGGGCGGCGGGGCGGCCGGCGGTCCTGCGCGCTGCGCTCGGGGGCGGTATCTCCATGGGGCTGGCCCGCGGCGCCCGTGCGCTCTGAGGTGAGAGGGGGCGCGTCCGGGCGGTTGGGAGGCGGGAGGAGGGACGGCCACGTGTCGCTGCGCGGCGGGCCGGGGGCCCGGACTGACGCCGCGCCTGGAGCTGCGAGGGACACGTGGTCGTCGCGCCGGCCGCGGGCCCCTGAGCCTGGGGAGCGGCCACCCCCCGGGGCCTGAGTTCCCCCGTGAAGCGGGACTAAGAACTCCCTGACCCTGCGAGCGCCCGGCGGCCACCGTCGCCGCGGCCCGTCCTGCCCCGGATCGTGCCGGCTTAGGGCAGCCAGGGCTGGAGGGGACCGCGGCTCACCCTTCCGAACCACGTCGGTGGGGATTCTGAGCCGGAAGCTGTTGGGAAGGCCCGCGGTGCTCTTTTAAAACCCATGTGGCAAGCCCGGCAGCAGGTGCAGACGTAGGAGCGAGCCCGTGCAGGTGTCGGGCTCCCATCGCTCAGCTCACTTTCGTCGGGATGCCCCGTTGTCCTGGAATTTTGTTCCTCTTGGTTTTCGTGTACAGAGGAAATGACCCGATGTGGAAATTCGCCGGCGTTGCTAGAGCTAAGATACGCGGTAGCCTTGTAGTGACTGTGGTAATGCATTCTCCATTAACTGTGCCTTGGACTTGTCTGTGTAAGGAATCTTTGAATGACTTAAGAGATTTAAGAAAGGCCCAGAATATTGAGATCCCAGTTCGGGCGAACAGACTTACACGTAGGAGGCAGCCCTTAAGATTTTCCAACAAAGCTGATTGTGGTTGTTTGAGAATCCCAACTAATTGGGGAGTGTGGGGAGCAGAACCTCTTAGAAAGGTCTGGGGAGGACCAAGAATGTGTTGACTTTATTTGAAGCTAAAATTGGGCATAATTTAGTTGACTTGTGAAATTTTTTTTCAGTTTGTTTAAATTGGTCTCTGTGTCTTGTATAATACTTTCCAATTGGCAGGGAAGAATTTCGTAGCAGAAGAGTGCTATCTTGTGCTCACTGATGCATCATTTTAAGTAACTTAGCTATACAGAACACTAAAAGGTGAAGTTTCTCTATACTGTAAGTTATTAAAATAAAGCTTTAAAAGATACTTAATAGTAACATATTTCAAAGTAATAAGCTCCCAAGTTTAAGCTTGAACACTGCCTAAAAGCATTTTAACAAGACCCTAACTAGCCCAGTCTGTCACTGCGTGAACCTGAGTTAAGTGTTAATTTTATATAGCCAAATGGGTTTGCTGTCCCCTTCGTCTCGACTTCCCCTAGAGGTGGTTTCGGCAATGTAGGAGGTTGACGATGGAAAGTCACGTTAGATCAAGCCTGGAAACGAGTTCTACCGGGGGCGCCTGGCTGGCTCAGTAGGTAGAGCGTGCGACTCTTGATCATGGGGTTGTAAGTTCGAGCCCCACGTTGGGTGTAGAGATTTTAAAAAATAAATAAAATCTTAAGAAAGAAGAAAACCACACAACGACCACAAAGGACAAATTCTACGATGCATGGGTTTGGATTTATGGCAGGCTCGTCTCCCTGGGCCTCTCATAGTGTCCCATGCCAGAGCAAACTGTGGCCCCGAACCATTGCCTGGCCTCTGTCATAGGCTGCAGGCACTGAAGCGGGTCGCACAGTGAAAAAAAGAAAGTCCTGCCTAGCAGAAGTTAAATAGGTTAAAATCAGTAATTTTAAGATAGCTCATTTACCAGTGTCAGATTTCGTGAAGACCAAGGACAGTGGCTCTGAATGTTATGAGCTTTATTTTTGCTTATTCGTAATTCATGTTTGCTTCCTTGCTTTTGTTATTCTTAAAGTTAGCCAAAAATTATTTCCATATGATTATTGTTCATAGCTAAGCAAGGATGAGGGTGCGTGTAAGGACAGATGAGATTTGCAGAATCACTGACTTGATGACAGGCAACACGGGTTTAAGAATGCTGATTTCTGCTCAGATACAGCTGCTGTAGTACACTGTGTTGATAGGAAGATTGCTCACTGTAAAAATACATGCATGTCATGAAAATAAAATAGCATAAAAATTAGCTCATAAAATTCTTAGGAAACTTAAGGGCACTCAGTAAGTTTAGCCTTTAGTTATTAAAAATTCTGTGTAAGACTTACTGAAAACAGAAGGTGGATGTTTATAAGGCGCCTTTCAATAATTACTGAAATGCTGTTTTAAGCGTCTAAAGAAATGAAACGGACCGTTACAAAAATTTTTCCATTTTAATGAAGTGATTCTGAAACCTGCTTTCTGTAGGTTTTTTAGCATGAATATTTGAAGTGCTTATTTTGAGGTATATAGTAGTACATACAGAATTTTAGTGTGTTGCTTTGAGAAAGCCTAGTGTTGAATCTACAGTGTCCTTGGACTGCATAGAGGTTTATGGAATCCTGTGACTTACACCTGAAATAATGGGATTCCCAAATCCAGCGAGTGAGCTATCTACAGAGAGCACTTGAGCAGCACTGCTTCCTGTGTGCTCACAGCCAGTGCCTGATCTTTCCATTTGATGTACTCCTAAGGTGGACCAGCAAATTCTGTTTATCAGAACATTTCCACTGCTGCACCTGAGGGCACGCGCATCTTCAGCGGGACTTGGAATTCCAGAGAATTGCCTTTGTGAGAAACTGGCAATAATTTCTTTAAATTCCATCTCTTAGTTTTCCATGTAAGTATTCATGGTTGTTGTTAAGAATTACTGAGTATTATATCAAAAACTAATGATGTAATGTACGGTGATATAACAATAAAAAATTTTTTAAAAAAAGAATTACTGAGTATTGGGGCTCCTGGGTGGCTCAGTCAGTTCAGCAGCTGCCTTAGGTCATCCAGGATCTACCAGGATCTAGCCCCACATCTGGCTCCCTGCTCAGCGGGGAGTCTGCTTCTCCCTTTCCCCTGGCCCCCTCCCCCCCACACTGTCTTTCTCAAATAAATAAGTAAATAAAATCTTTAAAAAAGAAAAAAAAAAGAAAAAGAATTACTGAGTATTGCTCCCGCTTCTGAGGAAATTTCTCCACCCTGTTTGCAGTTTGTTACGTTTCAGAGGAACTTCAAGAAACCATGAACAGCTTTAGTAATGCAGATTTAGACTGCCATTTCCTCGATGAAGGCTTTACTGCCAAGGATATTCTGGACCAAAAAATTAATGAAGTTTCGTCTTCTGTAAGTATCTTAAGTCGGTGCTGACAGCACAGCTTTGAAAATGCTGGGCCCATGAGTGAGAGACTTCAGTGCGGTCTTAAGGAAATGGAATGGAACTCACACGTCCTGTTAGGGAATTCAGAATTTATTAGCTGCAGATCACTCAGTGATAATAGTGATGTTCGTGTCAGTGGCCAGGGTAAAGAGAGGAGGGTTCGTTGATGGGAACGAGAGGGGAGGCTACATGTGGGATGTGTGATTAGGCTGCTGATGAGTTCCCTGCACCCACTCTTGCTGTAGGATGATAAGGATGCCTTCTATGTCGCCGACCTGGGAGACATTTTAAAGAAACACCTGAGATGGTTAAAAGCTCTTCCTCGAGTCACCCCCTTTTATGCAGTCAAATGCAATGATAGCAGAACCATAGTGAAGACCCTTGCTACCATTGGGACAGGATTTGACTGTGCCAGCAAGGTAAGCAAAAGCAGCAGGACTCAAAAATGATGATCTCAGATGGCCCTGGTTGGGCACATCAAAGTTGTGTTTCTTGGGCAATATATAGTAATGAAAGAGGGGGGACTGAACTCCCGTGTTCTCCTGTTTTTTTCAGTGATTAGCTTCCTATATATAACGTACTCTCTCATGTTTTTCAGACTGAGATACAATTGGTACAAAGTCTTGGGGTGCCTCCAGAGAGGATTATCTATGCAAATCCTTGCAAACAAGTGTCTCAGATTAAGTACGCTGCCAATAACGGAGTCCAGATGATGACTTTTGATAGTGAAGTTGAACTGATGAAAGTTGCCAGGGCGCATCCAAAGGCCAAGTGAGTGACTCCTCCGTTTGTGGGCAGGGCAGGGTCACATATGGGATCTGCACGTTGTCAAATTCAAGTTCATAGTTGTGAGATTTCTGTACTTTGGTAAAGTATAAAAGTCTGCTGGGTCAGAGGCAAAGTAGAAAATCTTAAATCCTCTTGATGAATAAAGCTGTAGGAGACTCTTGGGGTGCCTGGGTGGCTCAGTCGGTTAAGCGTCTACCTTCGGATCGGGTCATGATCCCGGAGTCCTGGGATCGAGCCCCGCATTGGCCTCCCTGCTCGGGGAGAGTCTGCTTCTCCCTTTCCCTCTGTTCTCTCTCGTTCTCTCTCAAGTAAATAAATAAAAATCCTTAAAACAAAACAAAACTTATGAGACTCAAATCACAGGGTATCCGAGCCACGAATTCTTTTTGTTCTAACCATGGCTCTAAGTGGTCTTCTGTCATGGGAAATTTGATAAAATTTTTCTGCTTCTAGGTTGGTTTTGCGGATTGCCACCGATGATTCCAAAGCAGTCTGTCGCCTCAGTGTTAAATTTGGCGCCACGCTCAAAATCAGCAGGCTTCTTTTGGAACGGGCGAGAGAGCTAAATATCGATGTCGTTGGTGTCAGGTGAGCTCTTGGTGGTGGCCTAGGGGCTAAGATACTAGACAATGCACGTTTTATAGGCTTTTCTCCCACTGTAAATAGTAATTTTCAGAAATAGCATATTCTCCTTTCTTTGCCCCAGCTTCCATGTGGGAAGTGGCTGCACGGATCCTGAGACCTTTGTGCAAGCCATCTCTGATGCCCGCTGTGTCTTTGACATGGGAGTGAGTATATGTAAACCCAATTCCGGGGCGGGGGGGTGGGGAGCAGGGCTGATAGTAACTAGACTCAGTTTTAGAATTAACCTTCTGCAGAAGTCATCCCATATTCCAGAGGCTTAAATCCATCTGCTGCATACATTTTCATGACTTGTTACCAATCTGGCTACTCGACTGACTGACTGAACTTTCCTGATTCTAGGCTGAGGTTGGTTTCAGCATGTATCTGCTTGATATCGGTGGTGGTTTTCCTGGATCTGAGGATGTGAAGCTTAAATTTGAAGAGGTAATTTATAACAAAAATGTTCATAGCTATTTTAGCAAGTTCCATTTTGGTGTAGTTCAGAACTTAAGTGTTTTTAAGTAATAACAAAAGAAATTGTACAAACATAAAAATGCCTTAGTATGATACTTTCAGTGAGTTCTGCACTATCTAAAATTGTATTTAATGGGCTTTGGTTTTCTAAACCACAATGAGTCAATTTCCCCCCAAATTGTGGGAAATAGTTGATTACTTTAGGAAAGAGCAGGTGGACTTCAGTACATCATTACCCCCAATGGGGTTTTCTAAATTTTGTACTTTTCCTTTGAACATTTTAATTGTCTTAGTCACTTATGAAGTTAAAGTGGACATCTTATTACGTGGACCATTATGTGGTGGTTGAGTTTATGGAATAGATCCACCTTCTTCTTAAAATTTTGTGAGATAGGCAGAATAGAGTTTTATTCTGTTGGCGTGTATCTGATAGCTTAAAATATTTAGGCTCCTTGATACCTCAGTAAGCAGTAATACATTTATAGTACTGTTTGATAGAATCCTACCCATAACATCTTATAAAGGATGGGGGGTATCCAGAGGGGAATCCAGATGAAACCACAGGGATATGCAGGCTGGGTTTAGGGAGATGCCAGTTGGTTGGTTTTTGTTTCGCTGCCGTCGCCCGGTAGTACACCTGCTGACGCCTGCGCTCACGTTTGTTCTAGCCTGTCACTGGTTCTCACTCTGCCGTGAGTTCCCCTTGATGACTGTCCTCGTCTGTCCCCGTCTGTCCCTTGTAGATCACCAGTGTGATCAACCCAGCCCTGGACAAGTACTTCCCGGCCGACTCGGGGGTGCGAATCATAGCGGAGCCCGGCAGATACTACGTTGCCTCAGCCTTCACGCTCGCAGTGAACATCATTGCCAAAAAACTCGTATTAAAGGAACAGACAGGCTCTGATGGTACGTATAAAGGACGAGTCACGCAAACAATGAATCCTGGAACACTACATCAAAAACTAATGATGTATGGTGATTAACATAATAAAATTTAAAAAAAAGGATGGATCATTGCACACGTAGCTGTACGTTGGTACAGAAAGTGGTAATTGAGACTCCTGTGCCTTTCCAGATGAAGATGAGTCGAGTGAACAAACCTTTATGTATTACGTGAACGATGGAGTGTATGGATCGTTTAATTGCATCCTCTATGATCATGCCCACGTGAAGCCCCTTCTGCAGAAGGTACTTCTGAACGTAGTATATACAGCAGTGAGGATGTGGGGTCATAAGCAGGGTAACTGGTTACGTTTTTCTCTCTCAAATGTAGAGACCCAAACCAGATGAGAAGTACTATTCAACCAGCATATGGGGACCAACATGTGACGGCCTGGATCGCATTGTCGAGCGCTGCGACTTGCCCGAGATGCACGTGGGCGATTGGATGGTCTTTGAAAACATGGGTGCTTACACGGTTGCTGCTGCTTCTACTTTCAACGGGTTCCAGAGGCCGACTATCTACTATGTGATGTCGGGGCCGACGTGGTTAGTGACGACACATTTCATGGTTTGATAAGAGCAGGTTTCTGCTGGCTCTTGTCTGGTTGAATAAGAAATCGTCTTGTTTAGATTAGATGTAAATACTAACAAGGTTCTTAAAAATAGTTGTTTTCTGCCTGTATTAGGAGTATATGCTTTAGAGGGGCGTCTGTGTGGCTCATTCAGTTAAGCGTCTGCCTTCGGCTCAGGTCATGGTCCCAGAGTCCTGGGATCGAGCCCCGCCATCGGGCTCCCTGCTCGGCGGGAAGCCTGCTTCTCCCTCTCCCACTCCCCCTGCTTGTGTTCTCTCTCTCTCTGTGTCAAATAAGTAAAATCTTAAAAAAAAAAAAAAAAATATATATATATATATATATATATATACATATATATATATATATATCTATGCTTTAGAAGATTTGGGAAATACAAATGGAAAGAAAATTCTCTGGTGATACTGATCTGTATTTGTTTTCAGATTTTTATGAAGGTGTAACTATTTCAAAAAAAGCCTAGGGTATTTCTATATAAATAGAATATTGTAATGAGCGCACATGACTTGTGCTTTCCCTGTTACTGAAAAGGTGGTCCTGAAGAAAGGCTTGCTTTAGAAATACACTGAACTGCTTCCTGATGACGTAGTAGCCGAGGAAGTAAATAGGCTCATGAGTAAGTGACTCTCATGAAGCTGCCGAGTCCTGGGGACTCAGGGTTTCTGAATGTGCCCCTTCTGTCTCTCAGGCAACTGATGCAGCAGATCCAGAACCACGACTTCCCGGCCGAAGTGGCGGAGCAGGACGTCGGCACCCTGCCTGTGTCCTGTGCCTGGGAGAGCGGGCTGAAGCGCCCCCCGGCCACCTGTGCCTCCGCCAGCATCAACGTGTAGGTGCCTCTCCTGTAGCTGTTACCTTCGAGTTTAGCTGGAATTGGGGGACTTGGGGGGGACCGTTTAACTTAATTCTTGCTAGTTTTGAAATGTCTCTGAGTAGGGTTGGCACGGATGCAACAGTATGGAAGACTAGGAGATGGGGTCACTTATCTGTGTTCCTATGGAAACTATTTGCATATTTGTTTTATATGGATTTTTATTCAGTTTTCAGACACGCTACTAAGGCGCGCCCCCTGCCGCTGAGCAAGCGTTTGTAGCTTGAACACTGCAGGGCGGGCCGGAAGCTTAGTGTTGTGACCTGTTTTAAAAATAAAGTATCTTGAAATAATGAGGCATTGGGGAATTTTTACAATGTGTCCATTCCAAACGGCTCACCTTGAATGTGTTTTATAAGTGGGAATTGATGTTTTGTCCCACCTGCTGAGAAAGTTGTCCCAGAGGACTTAGGAGTTGGTGGTCTTCAGTATTTTGAAAATCTGTCGAAATGCCATCTTCCTGTTCAGCATTTTTATTTCAAGTACATGAGTCTTGTATGAAGTTTGCTGTGGATCCTCACAGAGAACAGTGGATTTAGCCCGCATGTAGGGAGAAGGAAAAGCGTGGGTGAGGCAGGCCGTCCCCTCTGCTGCTGACACAGCTCGGCCCGCCCCGAATGTCCCCAGAAGTGGCTGTGAAGGAGCGCCTAGAGCCCTTTGCTAACTGCCTTGTGTCAGGGCTGTGCCCCGGGAAGGCCCCAGAAGCCCCCCGAGCGCTGCCTGCGGGACCCATGTTCCCTTCCCACTTGTCTTCTCTCCGGGGACAAGTTGCAGAGCTGCAGGTTAGGAATGTGGTACAACATTTGGCACTTACTTTAATAAATTCAACAATTATCCTGTCTTGTAGATCTCTACCTTCTTTGACCTTGACCACTGGCCTTTTATGTTCTTTTACTCAACTCGTACCCCTACCGCCCCCGAAAAGGACATCAGGCTCTCATACAGCGTAACCCCCAAGATGAGAATGTCGAATCGTGCAGTAGCCATACGTGGGGAAGGAAGGCCGTGCAAAAGCCAGACGTAGCCCTAGGATGCCACTAGTCCCCGCTGTCATTGAGCAGCATTGTCTCACCGGCTCCAGCAGGGGGCCATGGGAAGACCAGAGTCCGGATGGGAGGGAGTACTGCAGCTCCTTTCATCTCGGGGAGTAAGTGAAGCCAGGTCCTCCAGCTAGGGCTGTATGAGTACATTTACTAAAGGATTTGAGGGGAATGACCTGTTCTCTAAAAAGCCACCGTCCCCCCGCCCCCCAAGACCCAAGTTCCACATGGACACTGCATTGTTGTGGTTGCACAGTCCCCCCTCTTCCTTGGCTGCTCAGCCAGACACGGGCTGGGCATGTCCGCAGCTCTGCTCTCCCTTCCTAGACCTGAGAATGTGGATTTAGTTGCCATACGTACATACATTCATCAGGAGCTACAAACAAAATAGTTCTGACTGGAGTGGGGGCCAAGGGGAGGGAAAAACCTCTTAAAGTGACCGTTTGTCCCGCTTCTGTGAGCACATCCTTTTCTGACTCCTCAGGATGTTCAAAAGAAAGGAATTGGTGTTGAGGAATGGGAGCTAGTCACCAAGTCTGGAATCTTGGTAAATTAGGCCTTCTACCAGGAAGGGCTTGAGATCTCCTAGTGGCAGCAATGAGCTTGGATGGAAAAGAGAAAGGGCTTTCCACTCGAAGTATGCTAAGGATCTGGAAACTGCTCTTCTCTCAGCCAGTCCCCACCCAGCTGTCCAGTGCCAGTGGGGACAGAAACAGCTCTAGGTTGTCCTGTTCCACCCACATAACAGCCTCAGCCTCAGCCTCACTCCCGACAGTCTGCTTAAATTGCTTGTAAGCGCCCAGAGTTTCTGGGCTCTGCCAGGGCCACATTTGGGTCTGGAGGGTAATGTGGCCTGGCTGGGCCAAATGGCCACCTCTGGTCCTTACACCTGGGAGTGGGCAAGTGAGTTTAGCCAAAGAGGATGGAGATCTCAGATGCTGGATATGTGTCAACACTCCTCCAAGACCCTCCAGGTCCTAGGTTGCCGTGTGCAGTTACCTATTGCCATGTGGTGAAAGATGGCACTGCCTAGGGGCACCTGCGTGGCTGGTTGGTTGAGCGTCTGACTCTTGATCTCAGCTCAGGTCATGATCTTGGGGTCGTGAGATCGAGCGCCACGTCGGGCTCAGCACGGGGAGTCTGCTTCTCCCTCTCCCTCTGCTCCACCCCACACTTGAGTGTGAGCTCGCTCGCTCTCAAAAAAAAAAAGAAATGGCACTGTCTAGTCATTCACAGAAACCGGACACTTCCAGACTTAGAGTGTGAAGTGACTATGGCTCTGGGCAGCGGGTGAATTTTCCTCTGAATGTGCTGGAGACTCCAGATAGGCCCCCCATGGGAAGGGACCCAGAGCTCTCAAGCTGTTGGTCCAAGATGAAGGCAGTGGTCTCAGCCTGCATTCAGTTCACTCGGGGGAGCATCTTCTGAATACGGATCGTAGGGCCCACCCCACACTCCAGAGATGGGGTAGTGTGGGGAAACTGGGCCAGTGCCTGGAAAGTGCAAGAAGAGCCTCCCCAACTCCTTACATAGTCCATCGGAGGTGAGAGTTGTAACAGAGCAGACACAAAATTAACACATTTGAAGTCAAAAAGGTAAGGGACAAACAACCACATGAGCCCAGGGCTGACTTTCTAAATATCGGAAGGCTCCGGTCAATAAAAGGACAATATAATAGAAAGTAGACAAGTCACAAACATGGATTTACAGAAAAGTCCGAGTGTGAGACTTCCAAACTCGAGAAACGCACATGAAAACAGACTACCCCATGTCAGGTGGGCAGACGGAGGGGTTGCCTCGGCCGCTGGCTAAGCAGACGTGCTCACGCTAGACGGGAAGGGAACTGGGGGGGTGATCTCTTCGGAGGCCACTGGGCAAAACCACAACCCAAACTGACGCAGCCGTGTAAGGATTTCCTGACAGAAACCCCCTCACAGGCTCTTCACTGCACTGTTCACAGCACACGTTGGAAACACGCCACGTGTCCACTGAGAGGGACAGGCAAGATGACAGAGGGCCGGGGCCGCGGCTGCTCGCACCGGCAGGAGCTCGTGGGGCCCGCCTCCCAGCCACAGTGCGGACGAGCAGGGTGAGGAGCAGCGTGTCGTGCACTGTGTGTGTGTGCACGTGTGTGTACGCGCATTCCCGTGTGCACGGGGCCTTTTGGGAAGAACCGACGCCCGGGTGGGGGGAGCATCGGGGCCCGAGGAGGCTGCACAGCACCTTCTGCGTGTGTCCGCATCACTGATCTTACTACAGAGACCACGAGCCTCCCAAGCGAGGAGAGAGGCTCCGAAATGAATTGCGGGCGTCCGATGGCACGGCGGTGGGCAGAGGCAGGCCACGTGGCTCCCACGTCCACTTGGCGCTCCTAGCCTACACAGACGTTGCTGAGCTTGAAGCCAGAGAGGCCAAGTGACTCGTCTAAGGGAGCCAGTGAGTCGGGAGGACCTAAGAGGAAGGAGGTGTCCGCTTCCCTGGCCAGTCTGTGGTCCCGGTCACTCACTGAAGAAAAAGAGCCGTGGCGGGAACGTGGCCGGGGACGTGGCTCCGGGCCCTTGCTCTCCCTCGGTCTCCTTCCCACTCGGGCCGGCAGCAGCACCCGTGGCTTTGAGCCCCGGCCAGTGGGCGCCTGGAGCTGCGCACACCCAGCCCCTGCCTCCCTACCAGTGACAGGGCCCCACCGTAGCCGCCGACCCCTACAAGCGAGGCTTTCGAGTCCCTCGAGTCCCTCCCTGGCAGCTGTTCCGAGGGAGGGTCAGGGACGCTCAACGAGGCTCATCGGAATGTAGTGCCCGGAGGGAAAACGCCCGAGACGTCCTTGCTGCTCTTTCTGGGAGCGGAGGATCGTTCCATTGTTCATCCTCTCTGCTGACTAGAATGGGGAGGGTCATGAGCAGAGTGGCCCTGGGGGTGGCCTGGCCCCTGCAGCTTCTGACCCCCCCCGGGGACTGTGCACACTCAGCTCCCTGGCTTGACAAGGGGAGCTGCCAGACTCAGCAAATAAAAATATAAGATTCTGCGTGGGACAGAGATTCGTTGTCTGAAACTGAAATTTAACTGGGCAACACTACCGAAAGGCCTCCGAGTCCTGGGTATCAGGAGCCCAGCCTCAGCCTCTGGGCACTGTGTGGCCCACAGAAAGTCAGGTGCTCCTCGGAGCCTCAGTCTCCTTATCTGACAAGTGGAACAGGGACAGAAAGCTGTATGAGGCAGGCCCAAGTGGCTCTGAACCCAGGCGGGGAGGCCTTGGGGATCGGCACCCCAAGCCTGAGACCGCCCTCCCGGCTGCAGCCACCAGGGGGCAGCAGCACCTCGTGCTCCAGGCTCCTCTGCTCAGCTGGGAGCTGTGACCAAACTGTCAGGTCACACAGTCACTCAGCAAACCCTTGACCAGGGCCCCCGAAGAGCCCTGACTGTGCCAGGAGGGCCGTGGGAACAGGACATGCTCTGGCTCAGACGGAAATCCAGGGCCGGCCACAGCAGTGGATCTGGGGCTTTGAGGAAGGGGCTTCAGGCAGCCTGGGCCAAGACCAGGCCACTGCCCCCCAAAACTCTTCCTGAGCCCCAATAGGTGAAGCCCATCCCCCAGCCCAGCTGTCGCCCCTCCTGTCTCACACCTGCTGCACCAGCCCTGTGAACAGCCTTGCCGCCCTCGCCTTTCCAGAGTGGGTAACTCTGGAACCCAGCCACCTCCGGAGGTGACCTGGTGACCCTGCCCACTGCCCCACTTGCCCTGGACAAGGCCCTCCCTGTCCTCTCCTGTAAGACGGTGACGCTGAGGCTTGGCCTCCCTGCTGCAGTGTGGGGGTAGGGGAGGCAGAGGGGCGCTGCTCTCAGGGGATCCCTCACCCACTGCGCTCTCCTTGGAGCTGGGGTCCAGGTCCCTGCCTGTCTCCATGCATCGGTACCTAAGGCTACCAGCGCCATCCCCATCTTCACATGGTCCCAGGCCCACGTTCTTCCCACACCAGAGCTGCCCCCACGGGGGTGGGGGTCCAGTCCTAACCCTGGCTCTGGTCCCATGGCCCCCACATCCGGGGGATCGAGGAGCCCTTTGGCAGCCCTCGCTCTGAGCTGGAGAGCCTGAAGGGCAGATGTCGACCCAGGGGGTGGCTTCACCCGGCCCCGAGGCCCTGCAGCCCTTCCCTCTGGCAGCCGACGTGCAGGAGAGGACAGGGAGGGCCTTGTCCAGGGTCACGGGGCTCCTCAGTGGCCAAGCTGAGACCCGTACCTCTGCCTCGGGGTCCAGG